ATGAGACGAGTTGTGTTGGTACTCCTCAACAGAACGGAGTAGCAGAGAGGAAAAATCGTGATCTTCTTGAGAAAACCAGATCTTTCATGTTTCAAATAAATGTTCCAAAAAGGTTCTGGTCACAAGTAGTTCTTACTACTGCATACTTGATAAATAGGCTTCCCAGCCGTATTCTTGGCTCCAAGTCGCCACTTGAAATTCTCAACAATTGAAAAATTGATCTTTCTCATCTACAAGTGTTTGGGTGCTTATGTTTTGTTCATGTTCAAGCTACTCAACGAGATAAATTTGATCCTCGAGCTGCAAGATGTGTTTTCCTTGGATATTCTTCAACACAAAAAGGGCATAAATGTTATGATCCTAAAGCAAGGAAAATTGTTATTTCTCGTGATGTTCAATTTGTTGAAACAGAAGCTTTCTTTCAGGAGAAATCAGGGGCTGAGTCTTAGGGGGAGAGTCCATTTGATCAAGTTCCTTTACCAATTGTTGACACAACTGAAGGATGTTATCCATCAAATACGGATGGAGATAATGTTGATTTGAGAAATTCTCTCTCACATAATTTGGCTGGAGACAATGATATTTCACCTCAAAATGAGGAATCTGTTTTTAATGGTGAATATTCTCATGCTATCGATGATTCAATAATTTCTTCCAATGGCACATTACGAAGATCATGCAGAATAAAAAACAAGCCGACCAAGTTTCAAGATTTTGTCACCTGTCACACATTTAGGTACCCAATTCAGAAGTATATATCTTATGAAAAAGTGTCTAGATCACATTCAGCCTTTTTAAGCAAGATCTCGAAGATATTAGAACCTACATGCTTTCAAGAAGCAAAATCGCAATTTGTTTGGAGGACAGCAATGGAAGAAGAGCTTCAAGCTCTTGATGAAAACAACACTTGGACTATAGTCAAGCTGCCAGAAGGAAAAAAGCCCATTGGTTGTAAATGAGTTTACAAAATTAAGTTCAGAAGTGATGGATCAGTTGAGAGACATAAGGCGAGGCTGGTTGCTAAAGGATTTACTCAAACTTATGGGGTAAACTACAAAGAGACTTTCGCTACGGTTGCAAAGATGAACACGATAAGAGTTCTTTGGTTTATTGCTGTGAACTACGATTGGCCCCTCTATCAAATGGATGTCAAAAATACTTTTTTGCATGGGGACTTAAAAGAAGAAGTCTACATGAGCATTCCTCCAGGACATCCTCAAGAAAATCAAGAAGGATTTGTATGAAAGTTAAATAAAGCTCTCTATGGACTTAAACAGTCACCAAGAGCTTGGTATTCAAAACTTAGTTCAGTTCTCGAAACTATAGGTTTTAAGAGGAGCAATGCAGATTCTTCTCTATTTATTAAGGATGGATCCTTTGGAAAGCTTGTTGTCCTAATATATGTTGATGATTTAATAATCACATGGAGCAATAATGCTGAAATCTCTAAACTAAAGTTCTTTCTCTCTAAAAAGTTTGCCATTAAGGACTTAGGAGCATTGAAATACTTCCTTGGAATCGAAATTGCTTCATCAAGAAAGGGTCTGTTTCTCAACCAAAGAAAGTATGTGTTGGATCTTCTTCAAGAAACAGGGATGCTGGGTGCCAAACCTGCTGAAAATCCAGTTAATAGCAAGGAGAAACTTAGTTTGGATGGGGAATTGTTATCAGATGTTGGACAGTATCAACGGCTGGTTGGAAAACTGATTTACCTTACCATCACTTGTCCTGATATAACCTACGTTGTTAGCTTAGTAAGTCAGTTTATGCACGCTCCAAGGACAACTCATCTCACGGCGGTAAACAGAATTCTAAGGTATTTGAAGAGCTATCCAGGATGTGGTATTTTGATGAAAAAGAATGGACATAGTCAGATTGTTGGCTATAGCGATGCCGATTGGGCTGGATGTCCAATAGATAGAAAATCCACTACCAGGTATTGTATCTTTGTCGGAGGCAATTTAGTGACTTGGAAGAGTAAGAAACCAGATGTTATTGCTCGATCAAGTGCTGAAGCTGAATATAGAGCTATGGCATCTACTACCAGTGAGTTAATTTGGCTTCAATTTTTGCTTAAAGACTTTGGGTTCGTTATTTCTCAGCCCATGGAATTATTCTGTGATAACCAAGCTGCTATGCATATTGCCTCTAATCCCGTGTTTCATGAAAGGACCAAACATATTAAAGTTGACTATCACTTTGTCCGTGAAAAGGTTCAATCAAATGTCATTCAAATGGTATTTGTTAGAAGTAATGAGCAGTTGGCAGACATTTTTACCAAAGGCTTGTCCTCATCTCAGTTTCAAGAGTTTCTCTCCAAGCTTGGCTCCATTGACATTTTCGCATCATCTTGGGGGGGGAGTATTGGAATATGTATAGAGTTATTTCCTTCATTTATTATTATGTTGGCTGAGTAGAGTTAGTTGTCTTGGGATCTTCATGAGTGTAGCTTGGTACCTGATGTGTGCATTAATTGTTTTCAGTTGGTTGTTGTATGAGTGCTCTTTATGTACCAGGGAAGCTAATTCTCCGTTTATGATGAATAATAGTTTCTTTTTCCTTTAATTTCTACAACAAGTTCAAGCATGGAAATGAAACCTCTGTTGACACGGGAAATAGTGGTAGTACTAGGGATATGTCCACAGAAAGCACAGCTGATGCTGATCAAGTTGTGAATGGTTCTCATGAAATTGAGGAAAACCGCAATGGTATTGTAAATGTGGATTTACAGCACCAAGATGGTGATGTAGATAGGAAATTGGATTCTAAGCCTAGTTTCAAAAGGAGCTCGTCAAGCAATAAGAAGGATGAGTCTCAGGTTTTAGGGATGAAACAAAAATACGAGTTGATTGATTTGTCACCAGATGCAAGACCCTTGTTAGTTTTTATCAACAAGAGGAGTGGGGCTCAGCGTGGGAATTTACTGAGGCAACGATTGAATATTCTTCTCAATCTTGTTCAGGTTTGATTTCTCTACCATCTTGATTATTTGGAAAAATATATTTGCCTTCATTTGTTTAGCCAAGTGAGGTCTTTAAGTAAGGTTTAAGGTGGAAATTTCTGTGGTGTAAAAAAGATTTCCCTTCTTTTCTTTTCAAATGAGCCAAGTAACGTTATTACTAAGGCTTAAGGTTTAAATCTCCGTGGGATTGAAAAATTAAAATTTGCTAGTTTAGCCCCCTAGTGAAACAGGAAATCCTAACTGTACATTCTAATTGCTGATGATTATCAACATCACATGTTGGGCTCTCTCCTCAGTTGATTTCTATGGAGTTTGGTGAACCTATTCTCTATTAATATTTGTGATATATCATATATTGTTGCTTAATTGTTGCATGTTTTTGTGTTTCATGTAGATTTTTGAGCTGAGCTCAACACAAGGACCAGAGGTGGGTCTTTATTTATTCAGAAAGGTGCCGCACTTCAGATATCTTGTTTGTGGGGGAGATGGTACTGTTGGTTGGGTTCTGATAGAAAAGCAAAACTTTGTGTCTCCTCCTCCAGTTGCTATTCTACCTGCCAGAACAGGGAATCATCTGGCTAGAGTTTTCTCATGGGGAGGTGCTTTGGGCTCAGTGGAGAGACAATGAGGCCTTTGCACAGTTTTGCACCACATAAGGCATCATGTTGCAGTAACCATTCTTGATCGTTGGAAGGTAGCAATTGTAAATCAACAGGGGAAGCAGTTCCAATCGGCAAAGTTTATGAACAACTACACTCTGAACTTTCCCTCTCTGCGTGGATCAAGCTTGGCCGATCGGCGTGATCCATCTCCATCGCCAGGAACGTCACTGTAAATTCCCTCGTTTTTTTTCAGAAACTTTTACTTTTCATTTTCTGAAATCTTCACGTTTCAATGTATTTGTTGATTATTATTTCAAAATCGAGACAAACACACGCTCATAGAAATGTATTCGTAGTTACATATTAGAATGTATGTACGTATGTTATGCTTTGCTTTTAGATTATTCCGTTTGGTTTCCGAGAAATTGGGATAGAAAGTGAAGTATGAAACGGGTTTTGGGCGTTGCTTTGGACTCCAAAGATGGAGGTGCTTTGTTTTCCCACAGGACTGTCATTTAAATTAAAATATCACCAAATTGGGCCTAACTCATAAAGGATCCGTATCCACCCTTTGGTAAAACCTATACAATTGGCCCAAATTGAATTAAGGAAAGAAAAGAAAAAAACAGCCTTTGTCTGTACTATAGCCCACACCTTCCTACCTGCCTGATGGCCCAACGAATGACCCTTCAGCTATGGGCGGATTGGGTGGATTATTCATGTAGTTGGGAAAAATATGAATTCAGTCCAACCCAAATGACTTCGACCCGAGTTACAAAAGGTTTTTTTTTTTTAATGAACAGTTTTATATATATTTTTTTAATATAAGCAATAGTCTAAACTACAAAGGAATGAGGATCTTTTATACACACATTACTGTCATGCATATTTGAATATGAGACTACTAATCTGTAAATCAAGACCATTTTCCACCGGACTAGAACCCTTTGCAGAAACTACAATTGCCCAACTGATGGAAGGAAAAAAAAAAGAGTGACCATAATTTAGGGCATTTAAATAGTCAGTCACTTTATCAGTCCTTGACCATTCAAAAATTGAAAAGCCTAATAGCAATCCTCCACGTCAATGCTAAGTCAGCCAAAGCCAGGAAGTAAGGCCAAACATAACAAACAAACAAAGAGGCCAAATCCACGACCACATGTTATACGATGCTTCCAAAGACAGAAACCCATTACCCCACACTTGTCGTCCTATCTTCCACCCACCTTCTTCATCCTTTTCCCCATCCCCCTCCCTCTCTCCCTTTCAACTCCACAACTACTTGGAAATTTCTTTTCAATTCTAAAATCGCAATTTAGCTTAGCTTTAAATCTGGTCACAATGCCAGGCAGCCGCCCTACTCAACGATTTATCTTTTTTAATTCATGGACCCATCAACTTTGATTTGCCCCTTCTGTACACGAGAACACAACACAAAATCCAGAAACAAATAATAATATAACAGATTCCAAATAAAGATCCAATCCTCACTTCCTCCAAAATACAATTACAAACGGAGGATTATGAGAACCCAAACAAGTCTTTAGCAGGAGATTACAAGCTTGTCCCATGAAATGAAATCTCCCAAACAAAAGTCACATACCATCTCCCAACAGACAATGGCTGACCACTTCTATGAAAGAAACCAAAACAACTCTACCCAGAAAAAGAGAGGGAGAAAAGACTTGGCCCCTTTCCCCCCCACTCTCTCATTCTTAAGACCTTTTATTCCTCAAAATGGAACATCTCCCATCACCTTAATTTACATATACATATCTTTGAGTTTACACAAAAAAACTCTGCAGAAATAACATTAGATTGGACTTGACTTGTATATACAAAAATTACACACTCAAAGAACCCAAAAAACCTTTGCTTCCTCCTCTCGATGATGATCCCAAAGCACCCTCTCTCACAAAACTCTGCTTTTTCCATAATGAGAGAGAGGGTTCTTCATTCTTGTGTGAGCCTATAACTGCCTAAGCTACAGCAGAGATGCTGCAGTTTCTGCGGTCCCTGCTAAGACAATCAAACCCTTCAATGCGCACAGCAACAGGCTTGTCCCCTGATTTCATCCGAACACACCCTCCGTTGCGCGCAGACAATGAAGACGGCGGTGCTGGAAAAAATGGAGCCATCTTGCTGCTGTTGCCAAATTGCTCATCTTGGATTACAGGGTTTGATGCCCTGCTTGGTGGAGACCCACAGAAAAATGGTGGCGATGAAGCCAGTTGGTTACTGGATCTCTCTTCACAATTTCCCTGAACTCATGAATTAACCAAAGAAAAATTGGGAAAGCATTAGTTTTTCTATTCTTGGATTTGAATTCAATTTTGGAAGTTCGAGCTAAAGCATGACACAAAATCAAAAAAATTATGAGTTCAAGGTTGAAAAAACAAACTTCAAATCAATTGATTGTTGACAAATCACAACTAAATATAGTCCAGAAAAAAAAAAAAAAAAAAAAAGTGCCCGATACTAGAAATTAAAAAATGAATATTAGCTCAAAATAAACGTTTCATGATGAGAGAGAGGAACCTTGGTGAGAAGAAAATCCAGAAGTTCAGACCCTGCTTGAGAATCTCCGATTTCCGATTGGCTGTGAAAAAGTAAGAGCGAAAACCATGAGCCCGAAAGAACAACCTTTGACTCTAATAAATTAAAATCTAAACAACGTGATTATAATAAAACAAAACAAAACAGAGGAGTGTGAGAAAAAGGTATATACTTGAAATATCTGAAGGGTCTGGTGGAGTCGTTAAGGGAAGGATTGATGAGTTTCAAACGACGTGGCTTTGGGCACACAACTGAATCCACCATCTTCATCCCCTCACAACCTGCCATGGCGTTCTGCTCGTAAGCGCACCTGTTCATCTTTGTCTCTTTTTTTCGAGATCTCACCAACAACGCCTACACACACCCAGATTTTCTTTCATCAAAATTAACACAAACAATAAAAAAATACAACTTTGGGATCAAACTATAATTTTTAAACAATTTATGTTTTCCTGTTCTTCCATGTAACAAAGCTCCAAAATTTCCTGAAAACCAAACCCAGAAGGCATATGAGGTAATCCTCAGTTTTTCCTTAGAACTTTGCAGATCTATGAATAAACAAGCCTCTGGCTTATGATATAGGACACTTATAATGAAGAGGGAGAAACAAACAACCTTGAGCTGCCACAGGAGGCTCCTCCGAGAGGAGGAGGAGAAAAAGATTGAGGTAAGAAAAAGATCTGTAAACACAGTGTTTTTTGGGCGTCTGAGAAGGAGAGAGAGATAAGGGTTGGGTGGGCCGAGTATTTATGATTCACAGAACCAGGGGAGGGGACAGAGAAGGAGTTATGTTCAGCTGTGTGAGGGTGCATGGTTCATCCGATTGTAGACGGTATGATATGCCTGATGATAGCCCTTTGTTTGTGGGGTCATTTTGACATCGAGATTGGTGGATGGATGAGACCGATTTGGTCCACATAATACACGTATGCTTGCTCTTTAATTAAATTGAGATCCGGCTCTCCAGCCTCTGTTCTTTGCATCCTGATCCTCTGTAAGAATCCAATCAATAAATAAATAATTCCTGTTTTAGCACAAGCCTACGAAGGAAAATATCTCATTTTCTCATATATTATATTTATAGTAGTTGACCAATCACCATTGAGCATGTGTGCTGCACAATTGAACCGTTTATTTTCTTTCCTGATTAAAGAAAAAAAGCCATTTTGACAAAGCTTTTCTCTGAACAAAAAGCAAGATTATGATCAAGGAAAGTCATAATCTCTCATCCAAAACTTAGATTTTTTATGGCCTAAAATTAGTTTATATCCAAACGAAATCCACTATTTTTTGTATTTCTTTTAAAATTAATGAGTTTTTTAATACACCCAAATTTTTACGAAATTTTTTTAAGTCATAATTAAATACATCTAAATTTGAATGGAATTTAAAAAATCCGAATTGAATACACCTAGAATTGTATAGGCTTCTATAAAATCATGATTGAATACATCTTAACTTTTTAACTTCTTTAAATTTTTTTAAAATCTAAATTGAGTATACCCCTCCTAATGCATATTTTTATTTACATGATAAGGTGACGTTGATATAGATATCACGTTTGGGATGAGGCTTGACCAGCTGATCTTATCTTTTGAGTATCAATTTAATCAATTGACTTAACTCGACCAGCTGACCTTATAATTTGAGTATCAACTGACTTAACTCACATTTGCTTGTTATGCATAAAAAACGTTTATGGTATGCAGAAGAGGTAAAGGGTAAGAACGAAGGGAGGGAGGCTCCATGATTCCAATCCAAAGTGGAAAGGACAGAAAGAGAGATGTTTTGCAGACAGAGGAATGGAAGTGGGAACCACAACCCAATTCGCTTTCCTTTTGCGTTCGATTTCTTCACATGGCCAAGCTTAAGTTGGCTTCTATTAAATTTGAAGGCAGTGGTCCACTGCGTACCTACCAGCAATCCTTTCAATTGCTGAGCTCATATCGTATCATATCATATATGCATAATATTAATGCACATATTTTTATATATATACATAGATATGCTACATGATCATGCAGGCCCGTATATTGTGAATAAAGCTCCAATGTCTTGGTTGGGCTGAAGGATTTGCCCAATATACTGAATACAAGGCCTGTTAGGCCGTGGGTTATGAGACAATAGTTTAACGGGCCTGTTAGGCCTTATGAAAAACATTAGCAGATGTTTGCACGCCCCTTTTCTCGAATTCAATCATCCTTTTTTTTTTATTAGAGTAGTTTAAAATATCGTAATTGTTAAAATAAAAAATAAAAAACTGCATCATTTTAACGGAACAAGGGGTTATAGTATCTGATCTGAAATGAAATCAAGCTACTTCCATCCATGGTGCAAATGGTAATGCTTCAATTCCTCTCCATACATGATGATTGCCCAACTACAACAAGGCCATGGAACTTTAAAAAAAGGTCAAGAAATCTCATTGTAGCTTCAGGTACACATCTTTAAACTAAAACGGCTGATTTATTGGACTAAATTTTATTTCTTTTTTGATTTCCCATGTAAGTGGGTCCATATGATATGAGCCTACCATATAATTTGATTGATATATATCCCTTGAGTGTACCATGTGCCCTTTTTTATTCCACTGCATCTGCATTGCATGTGTAGCAGCAGCCTTGCCCTTTTGCACACCTTCTTCCTCGTCAGTCTTCTCTCCTTTTGATTCAGATCAAATCCCAGCCTTGTAGATAAACTCTAATTTAAAAAGCTAATAAAGCTAAAGTTATTCTTGTCTCTATCTCTTCATGTTCCTTGCTTTCTTCCCCTCATCTTTCACCCTCAACCAATATCCTCTCTCTCTCTCTCTCTCTCTCTAAACATTCTCTCCTTCCTGGATTCCAAATCTCCAAAATCCCATGTGGTTACTTTTATTTGTAGGATCCCTCCATCATATTATATAAACATAATAATAATAATAATATGTATTAATATACAAAAGGGTACCTATAGCTAGGAGGATATTCATGTTTGTGCAGTCCTCCTCCTGGTGCACATTCATGTCATGATCTAGTCATCAAAGCAAGCTGTGGGTCATTGTGCAGGGAAGAAAAGTGGTGAGGAATCTCTGTGATATATCCCATCCATTATTCTCACTTTGCTCATCTTCGCTTCACACCAATGCAATTGTTCTTCACTTAACTCTGTCATTCTCAAAACCCTTGAAACCAGTTTTAGGTCAATTAGACCCATCAGTATCTCCATCTCTTCCTCCACCTTCAACTTTCTTTTTCTCAAGCATTTGTGAGAACGCCGAAGATCCTTCACTTTCATCTTCTTCTGCTCATCATCCAATGGAACAAAAAAAGAGTCAAGAACCAATATGATAAGTTGATAACATTACATATAATTAAGCAGATGTGATTAATATAATATATTCACTTACTTTTTGATTAATTTTCTTCGTCAGATGGAGAAGAGTTGGATCAACTGAACCTTTTCGTTTCCTTTTAAACATGGATGCTAATTTCTGGCAGGGTTTCTCCTTATCAGCCTTGAGAAAATTCATGAACGTTCGGATTCCATCTTCCATTATCATTAAAAACGCAGCTGACGAGATTCTTGAGCCAAAACCTTCATCCTTTTGATTACCATCATCTTCTGAAGCTTAAAACATAAAAAAGCAAGGCATTAATTAATTATTTATCTTTGATTGATTTGATCCCTAGACCTTTTGCATTTCTTTGTTACTCGTGATGATGTAACTATTACAACTTTAATTTAACCATGATGCGCATACATTCAAATTATTGTTAAAGAAAAAGGGTATGAAAAGAAGTTAAAAGTACAATCTGGCTGCAGGACTACCTCGATATTCTGGCACTTGCAGTAACTTTGGTGCCAAAAGCCTCATCCTAGCATAAATCTCTGGTCTCCTGCCCTGCTCATAAGGTTCATTCTCTATGTATCTCTGCAGAAGAACTTGGAATTGCTGAAACTGCTGCGCTAATTGGCCAGGACAGCCGGGATCAAAATCACCGTGTGACGCTCTTTTTTGTTCGAAATTCTTGTAGTTCCAATTAAGTGCTTCCCATGTTAAGCAAATTTGAGCAACATAAGCAGCTTCCAGTTCATGATAAGGGTTGTGACGTACGTCCAATGGCCTTTTTGTTACCATGGCGATTTTATGAACTATCCTCTCCGAAATTGATCTTGGACAAACTTGAATAGACCTGAGTGATTCTGGAAAATGAAAATATTGCATGTATGATTATCAGATTAATTAGCTTCAATCTCCCGAAACAAAAATACAACCACTTTAAAAAAAGAAGAAGAAAAAAAATATAGCTATAAGAAACCAAATGACCTGTTTCATGGAGCTTTTGGGCACTAATTCTGTCTAGGAACATCATTTCTTCATCGTACTTTTGAAAAACTGTGTAAGACTCCCACTTGGGGCAGCTTCTCCGGGACGACGAAGAAAATGGATCTTCTGTAGCAGAGTCCCTGCAATTAATTGAGCTTCTCCATTCAGAAGAGCTTTTAGAAGTTGATCCAACAGTTGAGTCACCAAAAATCTCATCCTCTTTATTTTCTTGAACTTGGAACTTGTTGGTCTCCAATTGGTGTGGCCTAAACACTAGACAATTTTCATCACCAGGCAAATGTGTCTGAACTGCCTTGTTTTTTTCAGTGTTCTGTTTCTCAAATTTACCTGCATCAATAGCATAAGCAATGTCAGGCTGCAGAGTACATGTACAAGTAAGATTACAAGTACAACATGTGACTAGCTATAGCTAGTGTAACAAACGTAGATGGTTGATATGTTCGTCACCATTTTTGGCATTGCTCCGCAAGTCACTTTTGCTTAGGTCTATAGTTATCGGAGCAGTGGACCACACTTGATCATTTTGGAGAGAATTGCGAACCAAAACGGTCTCTTTCACTGGGATATCCTCCGCATCATGATCATAATATTCAGATTCTGTAACTTGTGGTGAGCCATGCAAAGATTCATCTTCTTGGTCTTCAATTATTAAGCTCTCACGGGCGCTAATGAATTGATCTTCAGAAGAACTTGTTTGATGCTGGCTCTGAAGGTTGCTGTTCGGCAAAAACATCAGTGATTCACCGCCAAGAATGATGTCAGCCACCAGATCATGATCATTTTCTGTGCAGCTCTGATGACCATGAACATGAAACTGCCTTTCTGCTTCTAATTCCTCTTCCTCTTCTTCTTCTTCTTCTTCCGAAAACATATAGTTTTCGTATCCATTCTGATTTCTGCAATATAACAAATTAATGCATACAAAAGGGTGAAGATTTAAGTAATTAATATGTCAAAGGAAATAACTAAATAAGCAAACACAAAGTTAGCAAGAGAGGTATTGATGTATAGCAGCATGCCATGCAAGGTTAATTTGTTAAGACCTTGGGAAAATTGGGTTGCTGCCAACGAAGTAGAAGAATTTGGCAAGAACAATGGAGGAGACATAGAGGAAGAGCAGGAGAAGGTGCAAGGAGGATGATACATTGTAGAAAAGCCTAGCAAGTGCTTCCTCTGTTGAACATGGCATTTTTTTTTTCTCTCCAGAATGAGTTTCTATCAACTCCTCTCCTTCACAAAGCACAATAGCAAAGTGGAGTGGTGCCCCTTCAAAAAAGTTAAAGCGTGTGCTTTGGTTGCTTTCGTAAAATCTCTTCCTTCTTGTTGGTCAAAATGGTTCATTTGTTTTCCAAGAAATGCCCCATGTGTCCTGCAATATTGCAAGTGCCAACTTTACCTTGTTACTGATTAATTTTATGCTCTATACATGCACCGTATGGTATAGTTTCCCATATACACACCTTTACATTTTTGGTTTTTATTGAATTGCTTTCTGAAAATCTAATCCTTAGTAGAAGGTCAACACAACCCTCTTATGAATGAGAAAAATTTATCTATGTCAGGGATAACACTGTGACGGTATTCCAAGGCAATAACTCATTGTCAAATATTTTAACTTTTTGA